CTACTAAAGTAAAAAGCACTTCCTGAAGTTCAGTTCAACCATCCTTTAATGAAATGGGGTTTGCCATGTACCAGGATGATGTAATACCATAACTACTAGTACTTCAATTACGTGCTGAAAGTTACCTACGCTTTTGATATACCCTATATAAGCAGATCCTGAGGAATAACAGGGGGGGGGGGGGGGAGGGAGCTGCCCCCCCCTTGGGATTTAGAATTTTCCACTCTGGTAAGGGGACACCCCCTCCCCCCTCGGGGGCTTCGCCCCCTCGTGCCTGCTTACTGCCCCCCCTGGCATTTTGCTCAGGCTACGACCCTGAATAAATCTATATATTCAACAGTTAAAGCATGTAAATTTAGGTAATACCTGTCAGAAAATAATGGCTTATATGTTGCCGGATTTAGGAGGGAGAAAGGATAATTACCTTGACAATTTGGTTCTACCCCTCATATTATATGTTATTACTTGAATAACTAGTTATTTGTAGTGAATTAAGCAATATTCAAATGCAAGATCTAGGCCTGTTTTTTTCCCCTCAATACTGAGGCAAAAGAGGGTTACATCCCTATACATCCCCGACTGATACTCCCCCTCCTTCAATTTTTTAAAAAGTAACTGAAAACTTGATAAATATGTTTCCTTTCCCTTACCACTGAGACAATCTACAAGACAATGTATCAAGCAGACAACATGAACAGCACATAGCAGATATATGTGGTGTCCCTGATACCCTACCTCGATCCCCCCCCCAACCACCACCACACACACACGCACGCGCACACACACACACACAGAGCTGAGTTGTACATTTCTGACTGTATATCCTTATTATAGGACATTGTAACATTTTTGCTTTCACCAAAGAGATTTTATGTTATTTTTGTGATTTTGTGACAGATCAGTTTTTGGGTGTAATTACGAATCTAGACAAGTCGCTGTGGAAGTGATGTCCTCACGTACTTTTACAGAAATAATATCCCAACATATGTTTATATTTGAGTGCGTGGTAGGATTGCCTTTCAATGATTCTCACTTAAAAAAAAAAGAAATGGCATACGTGACAAAATTATGTTTACACTTCACTTGTATTATATAGTCTTCTGAAAATTTCAATAAAATAACTACAACTTTTTGAGCTAGAACGTACAGAACAGGTCTGGTCTCTCTCTCTCTCGTTGGAGAACTATGATTTTCTTAAGCAGAAATGAACTGTTGTTGCATTGTTCTCTCTCTCCTCTCAACGCCCCTCTTTTTTAATTGCCATTTGTTAATTTTACTTTTATTTTTTCTGGGCGTGACTTACCAATTTAAGATTTAAGTGTATCTTTGTCCTTTTATATTACCCTTTGATCAGCACCACATATATATTGAATTAAAATATATAAGTAAAAAAATATATGGAATTGCTTACATAGTAATCTAAGTGAATCCTACGTTCATGTCACTTTTACCAATGCAAATAATATGAAAGAGATATACGTGTGCCCTGATACAAATAAAAAATGGCTTTGTCAAAACGTGTACTGTTCATTCCAAAAAATTCTCCAGAAAAATTGCCTCAGCCATTCCAATAAATTTGTAAATAAATTATTCCATGGAGAGTATATACTGGGTTGACCCAGATACAAATCTTAAGAAAGTATCCCAAAGTATCAATTAATTAAAAGATACCAATGACACATTCTAAATTTGTGCTGCTCAGTCCATTTATGTAAAAGAAAGAATTCAGGGGAACAGCACTATAACAGGTACAAAGATTTTGATATAAATCATTTTAAATTTGATTTAAAATGTATTGATTATTTCCAGTAGTTGTGAAGATGTACACTGTTTACTTTTCATGCAACTTTAAGTGATCGTTTTCCATTAAAAGTCAAATTTATGCCAAGTGTTTGCTACAATTAAAACCCCCCCTACTATAGTACACTAAGTGGAAATGTGTCAAGGGCATGCATGTGAAGTGCTAAATTCTAAAGTCCTCAACCTGATTTATAATGGAAATAAACAACAAGCATTGATGCAGTACATTATGTTGAGCAGAATGGATAGGACCAATTGGTACTATCATTCAGAATTGTGCAGACTGTATACACGACAAATTTCCTGACAAGCCCTCATAAGTCATTGCCAATGCAGCACTACAGGTGCAATAATGATAAATATTGTCATATTTGAAATAAGACATCTGAGAAGGTAAAAATAATTTTAACGCACATTGGTTTTTAATTATAACTAGAGGATCAGAGAAGCGTTATACCGCCTCCAGTATTGTACCACCAGCTGGAGAAAGCGCATTTGTGGAAAAAAAAAGGGACACCACCTCCAGTGTTGTACTTGACAAGCTATTTTTCACAAAATACAGTAAACATGAGTTCTCAATTTTTCGGAAAACTACGATTTATAACAAAATCATGGTGAAAAGTAAAAGGTCAAACTGGATTTGTGAAGTGCAGTTTATGACGAAAAAGAGGTCAAAGGTCATATTCAAGGTCACAGGAAGACTGTCAATATATACAAGAGTTCCTATTCAAGTTCAGTAGTATCAATGGGCATATCTGTGCCAGTTCTGGAGATATAAGGACCGGAAAAGTTGCAAAGTTCAGTTCATGGTGAAAAGTAGGTCAAAGGTCAATTTGAAGGTCACAGTTAGATTGCCAGAATATGTCTTCCTAGTCAAGTCCAATAGTAACTATGGGTGTATCTTTGCCAGTTTTGGAGATATAAAGGACAGAAGCCTTGCAAAGTTCAGTTCATGGTGAAAAGTAGGCCAAAGGTCAATTTTAGGGTCACAGATTTCCAGTATATAACTTCCTATTCAAGTTCAATAGTAACTATGGGTGTACCTCTGCCAGTTTTGGAGATATAAGGGACTAAAATGTTGCAAAGTTCAGTTCATGGCGAAAAGTAGGTCAAAGGTCAATTTCAAGGTCACAATTAAATTGCCAGTATATGATTTCCTATTCAACTTCATAGTGACTATGGGCCTATCTCTGCCAGTGTTGGAGATCTATGGGACTAAAATGTTGCAATTTTGGAGTTACAGTTATTTGTGCCAAAAATTTTGTACAGAAGCAATTAATTAAAATAAAGAAAAGGTCATTTTGGTTGAAATTCATGAAATGGGAGGTGCTCAGAACTTCCAGATGTTCATATTTCATGAAATAATGTCATTTATGACCAGAAATTTCCTGCCTTAATAAGCCTTACGTTATCTTTTCCAGACGTTCAAAATTTCATGCATATTACTGTTTTGCACATTTTAATTTCACCACCACAATGTACTTTTTGATATAGCGTAACTCATAAACCACATGGAAAACAAAAAACAAAAAAAAAAAAAAAAAAAAAAAAAACGAATACCACCTACAGTGTTGGACTTCACAAGCTCTATCAAATGCAAAAAAACAAGAGGTCTCTAGCATTAACGGTTCCAGACTTAGAGTTGTTTCAGTTTCAGCATATATTATAATGGTCACTTCTCCCGTGAAAATGCACCGATTGACCCCAAACTGTCAGATGAAAGATGACCCTAAGGGTAACACCTGCCAGTAATATTATAGATTAGGTCTGTGTAGTTTCTGCAAAGCTGCACAAGCACTTTTTTGCAGAAAAATCCCATTAAAAAAAAATTTGGCCCATTTGACCTTGAAATAAAGGTCAAAGGTCAAATCCAAGAGCACATTTGGAATCTTCAAATATGACTTTCAGTCAGACTTCTATAGTAATTTTAATGAATTCCTTTAGTTTGGGAGATATTTAGCATTGAATTTTCAAAAATTTTGACAAGGGTGCGTTTCAACGTGCATCACGCCCAGGCCAATGCATCAACTGAGACAAAAAAAAACAAAAAAACAGAGGGTTCAAGTTGCGATTATATGTGACCTAAATCCAAGAGACGGGAACACATGTCCTTGCAGTCTAGGAGGAGGAGGAGTAACGGTGACTTGTATCCCAAGCCACCCTGTGGAGCCGACGGAGCCAGCTGATCAGTACGAGACGGGTCGGGACTAACGCTATGAGTACCGCTATCATACACCCTGGCGATACATATTATTGGAAATATAGTTTCGCTACTGAAATAAAAGATCAACACTTATTTACAAAAGTCAGCAGACCTTCACTCGCTTCTGTATTGGAAAAAATGACTTCAGAATATGGCTGACGTTGAGTGGAAGAGGGGCAACAATTACACACTTCAACAACTGGCAAAAATGTTGCCAGAACAAGTTTTGATGAAACTTGGTAGGCTTATTTTGTGCATTAAAAGTCATCTTCTACCCACTGGAATAAAGTGTACATCCTCTCTGATAAGAGGTATCTCAAAATGATACGGTGTTGCTACATATAAAATTGGCATGTTGGCCAATTTTGTCGAGTTGTATCTCATTCATTTCACCTTAATGCTGGGAAAACCACACACTTAGAGCTACAGGATACCCTCTGCTATCATGTCTTATTTTTTCACTAGGCTTTTATGCATAGAATAAAGCACAATTCATGAATTTTCATGACAATCACAAAACTTAGAATTTTTTGACCACAACTTCATCTCAGCGCACACAACGTATTCTGAATATCTTCCTGCGCACTGCCAGTTGCCATATGACTGAAACAAGCATGTGAATATTGCGTTTGATACTTTGTATCAGACTCGTCATTTTACTTGACAACACCAATGGTTTTACGATAGTTTTATTACGATAATTTCTTGAAGGCATCAATTTCTTAAAGTGCGAGGCCACGGGCATGATTGGAAAAACAGAGAAAAAACAAGTGCTTCCAGTTTTTGTCAATTTCTTGAAAGCGTTGATTTCTAGAAAGGCAAGTCTATGCTTAACACTGTGGTAAATGACAAAAAAATATTTAAATGGGGGTGTTACATGTTGATCATTCAATCTGTTACATATCACATCATTTATATTTTATATATCAGTTACTGATAACAAATGTAATCTTCAAAATGTCTTTCGGAAGTGACTGTTCCATACACCAATACTTACTCAAACATGCAGCAGCCAAGAGTCGTTTGGGGAGTTCTGGGTTCGGACAGTGTGGATAGAAAGGCTGGATCACGTAGTTAGCGAACGTCAGTGCTATGATGGTGTTAGTGGTCGGAAATACGGTAATTAGCATTACCCACAAGAAGAGAAACCCTACAAAATCCCCATAAGAATGGCGGATATATGCGTAGTCCGCGCCTGAGATTACAATAAACGTTCCCAGTTCAGCGTAACACATGGCTCCCACCAAAGAAATCAAACCGCACGCCGCCCATAACACGAGGGACGCTCCCACCGAACCCGCGTACTGCAGTACACCTTTTGGGGAGACAAAAATGCCGCTTCCAACGATCGTCCCAACTATTATAGCGACTCCTTGGAGGAGTCCCATTTCTTTTTTCATTTGCAATGGATCTGTTCCTCCTGAGGAATCCGTATTCGAGTTGCAATTCATGGGCTCTTTTTCATCTCGTGTTCCTTCGTTTTCTGCCATTGTCATTATGATATGTTAATTTCAGTCTCCACTTAGCACGTTTCTCGTGTTTTTTTCGTGAATGATAAATGCTCCCTTCGGAGTCAGTCCTCTTTGAATCGCTTCTTCAGATAATACCAAATGTATCTTGTGTACTTGGCGAGTGTATTTATGTCAAAATATATGTTACATTCCTCGATTCACACGCTTGTGCTGTAGCTCTAGCTGTTGATCTTGCGTAATGTGCGCCAACAATAAAAAACCTTTTGCAAATGGAGTACGGTTTGGCAAAAACCGTATGACGCAATACTTTGTTGACTAAAGAGTTCGCGTAGGCGGAGCTGAATACGTTCAATTGATTGTTTGTCCTAAATATGATAAAAGTCAATTATCAGTTAGAGTGTACAGGAAAATAAACCTATACATGCAAAATTTCCACAAGACTCTGGAAAACCGACATTCATTACATTACATTACATTACATATGCGTGTATGCCTACATGTATGTAGAGTCAATTAAAATGAGAATATTTAATTTATTTTTCATCAAATTAAAATATTTTAAAGATGTCTGTATACATAATATGATATTTTATATATTATGTCTTTCCTCGTTTAAATCTTTCTAACCAATCCGGTATTCTCCCGCCAAATGGAATTCTCTGCTCGCAATAGAATATTGCGCTACCAGCACACGTCACGTCACTGGATGGTTTCTACCATTTCTAATTAAATAAATTAATGATTTAGTTCTGAGTGAAAGGCCAGTCACTTAAACAGCCAAGTCTTCTTGAACAGTTAGGAAGAATATCAACATGACGTATTTTTCTTTGAGGTATTATATCATTTTAAAGGCCTGAATCTCCCCGCATCGAACTTCCGCTCAGTTCCCGCCACCACCACCACCACCTCACGCACCTTTACAAGCCCACATCGTTACTCCCGACTGGAAGATACGCCTGTGCAAAGTATAAAACAATGTTTAATTTCAAAACCTTGATGTAAATAAAAAAAGTCAAGTGACATGTGTAACAGATATCATATGTTAATCGCCATTTAATTATAAAAATCGCCGAGGAGGAGTAACGATGCGAGAGCGTACACAAAGAGATAGGCCTACACTCCTTTAAAAATATCACTTTGGGACTTTTTTCAAAGAAAGAAAAAACAGATATTGTGACTTTAAGAATCACAAAGCACTAAGAAAAAATAACTGGCACTTTCACTTTCATTACATGTGCGAGAATCCAGTGACCTCTTAATGTCTGTGAAGTGCCACCTGCTATCAGAGGTTCTAAAATAGCATACGAAGTAAGTGATACATTTTGTAACAGACTACTTGCGCTCCCTGTGGTCAGAGATACACTGAGTGACAAGGCACTAAAACGCTAGTTTGCTCACTATATATACCTTTTCATGTGTTAGCTTTACAACTACTTGATGTTGTGGGATATATTTGAAATCAAGCTCGAGCTGGCAATACCGAAATCAGCACAAGAATGATGTGATTTTTTCTTCAGTCAACAGCTAATATTGAGATAGGTTTTACCTCCAATATTAGCTGTTGACTGAAGAAAAAAATCACATCATTCTTATAACTTAACACAGCTGATGAAATTCTTCTCCGAAATCAGCACAGGATTCAAATGACTGCGCATGCGCATGCACAAAAAGCGCGCTGTTTGAAATAAACAAAATGCAGTACAAAACAATGTCTAGATTAGTAGAATTTATCGGGTACATGGACCTGTCTATATATGGTACTTTATCTACATGAATTTCCACTTAGGTCATGTAGGGGCTGACGTCTTTATTGTGTCTTTTTCGAAAGTAACGATGGCAAGAGTGAGCTCCACCGTTTATTTAATTTGGAATGGGACAGCCTGTGGGTAACCATGCAAGGATATGGATACTGGTAGGCCCCAAATGGTCGAAAGCTTTAGGAACAAAAAGCTTTTACAATGTTAGTCGCGAGTACCTACTTAAAAGTCTATATACGATCCGGGATTTTCCCGCTAGGTAGAATTTTTTCTTGAAAATAAAGTTATTTGCCCTACTCAGGAATCATTGCTTGAAATGACCCTGCTCTTGGATTCACTGTTCATTCCATCTTTAATTTAAATGAATTATACAGTAGTTCTAAATGTTTCCTGTAACGTTTCCATACTTCCCCGATATCAGGTACTTTTATTTAATATATTTTATTCTTTTAAGGTGTTTTGGGAAAGCTTTGTGGGGTATATAGCTAGAAAAAAATGACTTTAGGACAGTTTTAAACGTGGATAGTTTAACTTTTAAGTTTGAAAAATGTGTACACCACGGCTGTTAAGTTTCCACAGATAGCCTGCCCGTTTTGATAAAAGGAAATATTAAAGGAGACAAAGCTGAAAGCTGCTGAAGTAGGCCTTACTTGGTAACATGTAGGACTGCAAACTTTTGAATTTAATCAAAGCGCAATCAAGTGGCTCACCTGTCACACTCATCGGTTGGTGTCGGAGCGCACTGTTATGATGATTTTATACATAATCTTTATTACGTGATTGTAATTCCTTTTCAAATACCGTGTGTAAAAATTACATAGTTTAGCATCTGCTTTAGGATTAGAATTAAAATCAGAGATTGAGCAAGTAACGAGTACACATTAAAAGATTAAAACTGGAATCTGGGCTCCGTATCTCGAAAGGTTCGCTATCTTGCGCACGTGCGCAAGCGTCTCGATTCCATGGCCCTGTATCTCGAAATAGAATCGGTTATGGAATCGAGACACTTGCGCACGTGCGCAACATAGCGAACCTTTCGAGATTCGGAGCCCTGTTGTCTGTGCTGTACTTTCTCAGGGCGACTTCTACGTAAATATTATTGACTACAAACCCAGGGAAAATGTATAACTCGTTTTCCACAGGGGTCAGTGATTTCAACGAGTGTGATGAAACGAAAGACATTTGAACTATCTAGTCTGTTTCCGTAAAAGAGGAAATCATATTCCTTGAAAAAACATTGCGAGTAAATTTAATAACCTTCAGTCGTATCTGCTGATTTATGAGAGCAGCTTACCGTAAAAATATATTCTTAGTAATTGCATGTTAAATTTGCTGCTCATGTTTCTTTCCATTTTCTGAAAAAAAATTATAGTGTCATTTTTGTATGTTTAAAACATGCAGTGATACAGTGTAGGTCCTTATAAAATTAAAATATAATTTTGATTTTATTTATGCATGTTAGTTTTGAAAGAATATAATATCAGTGTTCACAAAAAAGGAAAAATAGTGACAGTATTGTTTATCAACTTGTAATCATTTGTGAACATGAACTGAACATAATAAATTTCTTAGGTGTACTGCTAAAATGAGAAACATAGGTTAGGTAGTATGTATCATTTTAACACTTGACCTTTCGTGCAGGCTGGAAGGTTACTGGAATATGTCCTGCAATGGACAAAGTTCATGCATTGATACGTAATAGCAACGATTGATATATTAAGTATATGAAGTAGAGTAAACTAGTAAGAGGCAACTCCCGGATGTATGTAAACGATAGCCAAACCCCTAATTTACTGAATATTACATGTATTCTATTCCCAAATTTCCCTAAAAAGAGTGACAGATACATAACTCCAAGCAGCTTACTTTATGTAAGTTGGGAAAGTATAAAGACAGATCGCTAGCTCTCATTTATTCACTTACTTACTTATTTACTTGCAGTTACTTTTATTCTCGTCTTTGTTTAGATTCACGACTACAGTTATTGTTAAGCAGTTACTTTTAAATAATTACTTTCGGGCAGTTTCTTTCAGACAGTCTCCAGACAGTTACTTGCACTTTTTAATTGTTTTGCTCAATTGGGGAGCGTATTGGCAGTGCGCTGACTGAAAAAGGAATAAAATAACTTTCGGAAACAGCAAGTGGACTTTTTCTTTCTTGAGCAAAATAAATCATCTTATCACCGGGATATGGAGACGATACCGAGTTAGTAAAGACCCCACGATAACCCGGTTGATAAAAATAAAGTTACAATGACCGTTTCCTGAAAATTCAACAATTTTCACTTAATCATTAAGGCATAGGACTACCATATCTGAAATCCTTTGACAAAATTAAGATAAACTCGTTTTTTGGTTGGTGACAAGATAAACGCCTTATCTAAGGATTTGGAGAACTGTAACGTGGCATCCCTTTCACGGTGTGAACAACAATAATATTATTTGTTAGGAATGGTTGAGTACGATTTCTCTTGACTATCGTTGGAAGAAATTTCTTTTATTAATAATTTTTTTATCAATATGCTGCTGGAAATAATTGATCCATTTCGACAAAAATCCGTAACATAGTAAAACGACTGAATTATTATTATTTCCTTTTGATACAGTGACTATTAACAACTTAAATAGAATGCCTTGGCATTATCTATATATAAATGTACAATTTTTTATGTTTAACAGTAAAGTGAAATATTTCAGAAAAATTCTTACACTTTAGTTACAACACACACTACAGTCTCACACATTATTACATATACTACAATTACTGGTATGCATGCCAGCATATTGATCGTAAAACTTGTTGGCGGCGAGACTGATGACAGTAAATTGTTTTGAGATCTCTGCCAAAAGTGGTTGTTATTCTATCCACTTTTGTCCGCTTTCTTTTCCCTTTAATTGTTTTGCTCTTTTTTTCAGTTTCTTTTCTTTTGTTTTTATAAATAGGTTTAACTATCGTTTTTTTTAAATAATAATTGCTGTGAACTCTAAACTAGTGACATATTGTCTTTATTGTCTTGAGTTCCATGGTTTATTTTAACGTTGTGGTGATGTAGCTCCCGTAGTTCTTCCTTAGCTCTTGTTGCTCTTTTCCACGTGATACTGAACAAAATGAACACCAAAAACAGTATAAAAAGAACAAGTCCTCCCAGTGCCACCAATCCTGCTTTCTGGGACTGGAAATTTTGATTCATCCGAGCAAATCTCTCATTCTCTTTTAACTCGGACCGTTGGCCTATTCTTTTTAAAAAACCTAAAAATCGAAATATACAAACTGTTAGCTGCATGAGAAAAAAAAGACATATTTATGACTGGTCTGGTTATAAGTCATTTCAAAATATCACGTATTTACCTGATGAGAAACTAACGCTTTTAAAAAAATATAATATATAAATGTTATATGTAAATAATCAATATTAATAATTAAGACATTAAAAATTATAATATGAGTTTTGGATGCGATTTTAAACCAAAACTTGCTTTTAAATTCAACTTTATTTCTAAACTTTTTTACATTCCCCAGGATATAATAAGCTTTACCTAAAACATTGTCGACTGGGCCTAGCTTTGGGATGATGTTTTTCCGCCCTAAGTCTGCAAATAGGCCAAATGTTCTTGTTTTACCAAAGACTCCAGTCTTTTTACCAGGGCCCTTAATTCCGAATAGAACTAGACTAGTTCCAAAAGGACCTTTAGTTCCGAATCCACCTGTCGTTCCAAAAGGACCTTTAGTTCCGAATCGAACTGTCTTTCCAAAAGGACCTTTAGTTCCGAACCGAAATGTCGTTCCAAAAGGACCTTTAGTTCCGAATCGAACTGTCGTTCCAAAAGGGCCTTTAGTTGCGAATCCACCCGTCGTTCCAAAAGGTCCAGTCGTTCTAAAAGAACCAGTGGTTCCTTTGGACAGGAAAGCCGGTGTTGTTGCCATGAAGGGGAAGATGATGATTTGGCCTGCACAAGAGAGTTCTCACAATGAGGCATGATATAGACATACATGTACGTGACACAAAGTGAGCAAGAAAACACCACAAAAAGTTAACATTCTGCCGTGATAAGCACCTGTGTATGGGTCTCTTCTAAAAAATGTAGGAAGCACTAAACTTGTGCAGAATCATCAAGACGCATTTATGAATGTTAAATTGTTTTATCAGTTAATCTGTACGAACAGTGAGGCGAACAAAAAAGAAAAAGCACTTATAAGACTGATGAAATAGTACTAATTCTCCCGTTTGACCTATCCCCATTCAATATAATTAAATAAGAATTTTTAGGCTATCTTTCACATTCTCACAATAATGCCCAATTTAGACATATGTGTATTGTTTGTGATAAAAAGAAATGCATTTAACAAGAATCAATAAAGATGGTTAACATTCTGGCACCATTATATGTGATCTCTTAAAAGTACAGGAAACACCAGACTGTAGGAAAACGTTTTTCTGTGTGCAGATTAATCAACAGGCATTAATGGACGTCAAATTGTTTAATCAGTTTAACCTATATATATATAAGACAACAAATAGGGACGATGATACTGTACTTACCCGGCATTCCCCTTTCTCCCTTTTGCCCATTGTTGCCTTTCATTCCCGTTTCTCCCTTTTGACCATTATTGCCTTTCATTCCTCTTTCTCCCTTCTGACCTACTCCATTGTTGCCCTTCATTCCTCTTTCTCCCTTCTGACCTACTCCATTGTTGCCCTTCATTCCCTTCATTCCTGGAGAATGTAGTTAAGTTCAGAATTTCAGGTCATCCACAAGGTTTTTTAAAAGACACAAAGCACAGAACAGGCATTAACGTATGATAAATTGTTTAATCGGTTTAACCTGTATGTGAAGTAAGCGAAAAAAGAAAGAGTACTAATGGGACTGATTGAGCTGTACTTACCTGGACTCCCCCTTTCTCCCTTTTGACCTATTCCATTGTTGCCCTTCATTCCTAGATACAAATACAAATTTTTAGGCATCATACACTCATAATAAAGCAAGATGCAGGTATACGAATGTTAAAAAATTTTAATACATATAACAAGAAATTATCACAAAAGTTAACATTCTGTCCTTTGTCACAATACAGCATGAAATAGGCATAGGTATATAAAATAATAAAGAAAAAATAAATGCATATCACAAGAAATGATCACAAAAAAAGTTAGCATTCTGACTGTGTTGAGCACCTGTGCATGATATTCTCTTGAAAATATATAAAGTACCAAACCGAGAGCAGGGGCAGACCCAGGATTAATTAAAGGAGATTTTTTTTTTTGGTTGGGGGGGGGGGGGGGGCGGGCTGGATGAGATGCAAAGCAGCTACTCAACCCCCTTGACGTGGGATGTGGGGGTTACTGAAGGCCCCCAAGAAATGTTGGGGTTTTGGAGGGCAAATGGTGTCATTTGCTATTGTTTTAAACTATGCTTTAGCTAGTAAATTCAAAATTTCAAAAGTGAAGTATTTTTTTCTGAACCCGGGGGGAGGGGGGGGGGGGCAGGACCCCCTAGCTCCGCCTAAATCCAACACTGTGAAGAAAACTTTCGAATTTTTTTCCTGGCGCAGAATAAATAAGAGTGAGCATTAAATCATTTAATCAGTTTAGCCTGAATGAATAGGGATAAAAAGTTACTTAGCAGAATGATGAACTGTACTTAGCCTGGCTTCCCCTTGCTGCCCTACAGTTATATTCAGAATTTTAGCTTATCACACATATGCTGCTTCTTTTTTACTTCTCCCAAAGCCCCAGAACCCCATCTATGCGAATCTAGAATAAATTGATGTTTTGACATCTTTAAAGTGGTGATTTTTTAAAGATCAAGACCCAGTTTCATAAAGGACATTTAGTGTTTAACTGGATGAAATATTTAAAGGTCAGTTTAACTAACCGACTGTTTGAACACTGTTTATGAAACACAATTTCAACCGCCGTTTAGTTAATGGGTGTTATTTATCCACTGGTTAGACTTAAACACTGGTTAGTGCTAAACGTCCTTTATGAAACTGGGCCCAAGGTGTTTTTTGTCTCTTCATTTTGTTATTTTGCTTAATGTTTGGATTTGAGAGGAGTGAGAAAAAGACATGGTTTTAAAGAAGCTTGCTTCAAAAACTAAGGAGAAAATGACATCGTATGCACAGACAAATTTCTTATAATTTAAGAAATAAAACACTATCATGCATTTTTTTAATATACAAAGATAACCAATTATCAGTTTTTCAAGCCAAGATATTTTTAATTGTTCATTTTGATATGAATTTTTTTATTTTTCACTCCCACTATCAATAACTAATTCCATCCTATAACACCCACAACTCTTACAATTATATACCAATTTTACAATTTTTCCAAGTCCATTTAGCACGAAAAATTGTCTTTCCAAAATAAACAGTTTTGTACAGATTTTGTTTTCTAACAAATAGATTAGAGCCAATGTACAGAGGTGAGCACATGTTTCAAATGCACCAGCCCAAATTAGTTGGTCCAAGGGGAAGTTGCTAGGACCGCCTTCACATTCAAACATCACACCAGCTAGATCGATCCAACTCTGTGGGGGATTCTAGATAGAGTGCATTCAGTCTAATCGGTTTAACTGTCTGACATGCCTCTTTGAGTAGCTTGTTGATTAATTAATTAATTATCCCCTAGCAACTGTAAGGAGGTGTGTCAGATATTTAAGCTGATTACAAAGATTGCACTTAGGGAGAATCTCTCACATANCTTGCACAAAAAGCGCGCTGTTTGAAATAAACAAAATGCAGTACAAAAAAAAATGTCTAGATTAGTAGAATTTATCGGGTACATGCATCTGTCTATATATGGTAGTTTATCTACATGAATTTCCACTTAGGTCATTTAGGGGCTGACGTCTTTATTGTGTCTTTTTCGAAAGTAACGATGGCAAGAGTGAGCTCCGCCGTTTATTTTATTTGGAATGGGACAGCCTGTGGGTAACCATGCAAGGATATGGATACTGGTAGGCCCCAAAAGGTCGAAAGCTTTAGGAACAAAAAGCTTTTACAATGTTAGTCGCGAGTATCTACTTAAAAGTCTATATACGATCCGGGATTTTCCCGCTAGGTCGAATTTTTTCTTGAAAATAAAGTTATTTGCCCTACTCAGGAATCATTGCTTGAAATGACCCTGCTCTTGGATTCACTGTTCATTCCATCTTTAATTTAAATGAATTATACAGTAGTTCTAAATGTTACCTGTAACGTTTCCATACTTCCTCGATATCAGGTATTTTTATTTAATATATTTTATTCTTTTAAGGTGTTTTGGGAAAGCTTTGGTGGGTATGTAGACATAGGAAAATGACTTTAGGACAGTTTTAAACGTGGATAGTTTAACTTTTAAGTTTGAAAAATGTCTACACCACGACTGTTAAGTTTCCACAGATAGCCTGCCCGTTTTGATAAAAGGAAATATTAAAGGAGACAAAGCTGAAAGCTGCTGAAGTAGGCCTTACTTGGTAACATGTAGGACTGCAAACTTTTGAATTTAATCAAAGCGCAATCAAGTGGCTCAACTGTCACATTCATCGGTTGGTGTCGGAGCTCACTGTTATGATGATTTTATACATAATCTTTATTACGTGATTGTAATTCCTTTTCAAATACCGTGTGTAAAAATTACATAGTTTAGCATCTGCTTTAGGATTAGAATTAAAATCAGAGATTGAGCAAGTAACGAGTACACATTAAAAGATTAAAACTGGAATCTGGGCTCCGTATCTCGAAAGGTTCGCTATGTTGCGCACGTGCGCAAGCGTCTCGATTCCATGGCCCTGTATCTCGAAATAGAATCGGTTATGGAATCGAGACACTTGCGCACGTGCGCAACATAGCGAACCTTTCGAGATTCGGAGCCCTGTTGTCTGTGCTGTACTTTCTCAGGGCGACTTCTACGTAAATATTATTGACTACAAACCCAGGGAAAATATATAACTCGTTTTCCACAGGGATTAGTGATTTCAACGAGTGTGATGGAACGAAAGACATTTGAACTATCTTATCTGCTGATTTATGAGAGCAGCTTACCGAAAAAAAATATTCTTAGTAATTGCATGTTAGATTTGCTGCTCATGTTTCTTTCCATTTTCTGAAAAGAAAAAAGATTTATAGTGTCATTTTTGTGTGTTCAAAACATGCAGTGATACAGTGTAGGTCCTCATAAAATTAAAATATTATTTTGATTTTATTTATGCATGTTAGTTTTGAAAGAATATAATATCGATGTTCACAAAAAAGGAAAAATAGTGATAGTTTTGTTTATCAACTTGTAATCATTTGTGAACATGAACTGAACATAATAAATTTCTTAGGTGTGTTCCGCTAAAATGAGAAACATAGGTTAGGTAGTATGTATCATTTTAACACTTGACCTTTCGTGCAGGCTGGAAGGTTACTGGAATATGTCCTGCAATGGACAAAGTTCATGCATTGATACGTAATAGCAACGATTGATATATTTAGTATATGAAGTAGAGTAAACTAGTAAGAGGCAACTCCCGGATGTATGTAAACGATAGCCAAACCCCCAATTTACTGTATATTACATGTATTCTATTCCCAAATTTCCATAAAAAGGGTGACAGATACATAACTCCAAGCAGCTTATTTTATGTAAGTTGGAAAAGTGTAAAGAGAGGTCGCTAGCTCTCACTTATTCACTTACTTACTTATTTACTTGCAGTTACTTTTATTCTCGTCTTTGTTTAAATTCACGACTATGTACAGTTATTTTCAAGCAGTTACTTTTAGCTAATTACTTTCGGACAGTTTCTTTCAGACAGTTTCCAGACAGTTACTTGCACTTTTTTTTAATTGTATTGTTCAATTGGGGAGCGTATTGGCAGTGCGCTGACTGAAAAAGGAATAAAATAACTTTCGGAAACAGCAAGTGAACTTTTTCTTTCTTGAGCAAAATAAATCATCTTATCACCGGGATATGGAGACGATACCGAGTTAGTAAAGACCCCCACGACGACCCGGTTGATAAAAATAAAGTAACAATGACAGTTTCCTGAAAATTCAACAATTTTCACTTAATCACTAAGGCATAGGACTACCATATCTGAAATCCTTTGACAAAATTAAGATAAACTCGTTTTTTGGTTGGTGGCAAGATAAACACCTTACCTAAGAATTTGGAGAACTGTAACGTGACATCCGTTTCACGGTGTGAACAACAATAATATTATTTGTAAGGAATGGTTGAGTACGATTTCTCTTGACTATCGTTGGAAGAAATTTCTTTTATTAATAATATTTTTTCAATATGCTGCTGGAAATAATCGATCCATTTCGAAAAAAATCCGTAACATTATAAAACGACTGAATAATTATTATTTCATAATTGATACGAACGCCTTTTGATACAGTGACTATTAACAACTTAAATAGAATGCCTTTGCATTATATATATCTATATATAAATGTACAATTTTTTATGTTTGACAGAAAAGTGAAATATTTCAGAAAAATTCTTACACTTTAGTTACAACACACACTACAGTCTCACACATTATTACATATATTACAATTACTGGTATGCATGCCAGCATATTGATCGTAAAACTTGTTGGCGGCGAGACTGATGGCAGTAAATTGTTTTGAGATTTCTGCCAAAAATGGTTGTTATTCTATCCACTTTAGTCCGCTTTCTTTCCCCTTTAATTGTTTTGCTCTTTTTTCAGTTTCTTTTATTTGGTTTTTATAAATAGGTTTAACTATCGTTTTTTTTTTTAAATAATAATTGTTGTGAAGTCTAAACTAGTGACATATTGTCTTTATTGTCTTGCGTTCCATGGTTTATATTAACGATGAGGTGATGTAGCTCCCGTAGTTCTTCCTTTCCTCTTGTTGCTCTTTTCCACGTGACACTAATCAAACCAAACATCCCAACTAATAGGAACATTATGAGTCCTCCCAGTGTCACCAATCCTGCTTTCTGGGACTGGACATTTTGAGTGATCTGATCAAATCTTTCATTCTCTTTTAACTCGGACCGCTGGCCTATTCTTTTTAAAAATCCTAAAAATCGAAATTTACAAACTGTTAGCTGCATGAAAAAAAAGACATGTTTATGACTGGTCTGGTTATAAGTCATTTCAAAATATCACGTATTAACCTGGTGAAAAACTAACGCTTTTTAAAAAATATAATGTATAAATATAATATGTAAATAATCAATATTAATAATTAAGACATTAAAAATAATAATATGACTTTTGGATGCGATTTTAAACCAAAACTTGCCTTTAAATTCAACTTTATTTCTAAACTTTTTTACATTCCCCAGGATATAATAAGCTTTACCTAAAACATTGTCGACTGGGCCTAGCTTTGGGATGATGTTTTTCCGCCCTAAGTCTGCAAATAGGCCAAATGTTCTTGTTTTACCAAAGACTCCAGTCTTTTTACCAGGGCCTTTAATTCCGAATAGAACTAGACTAGTTCCAAAAGGACCTTTAGTTCCGAATCCACCTGTCGTTCCAAAAGGACCTTTAGTTCCGAATCGAAATGTCGTTCCAAAAGGACCTTTAGTTCCGAATCGAAATGTCGTTCCAAAAGGGCCTTTAGTTGCGAATCGACCAGTCGTTCCAAAAGGTGCAGTCGTTCTAAAAGAACCAGTGGTTCCTTTGGACAGGAAAGCCGGTGTTGTTGCCATGAAGGGGAAGATGATGATTTGGCCTGCACAAGAGAGTTCTCACAATGAGGCATGATATAGACATACATGTACGTGTTACAAAGTAAGCAAGAAAACACCACAAAATGTTAGCATTGATTCTGCCTGTGATAAGCACCTGTGAATGGGTCTCTTCTAAAAATCTCGGAAGCACTTAACTTTTTCAGAATCATCAAGACGCATTTATGAATGTTAAATTGTTTTATCAGTTAATCTGTACGAACAGTGGGGCGAACAAAAAAGAAAAAGCACTTATAAGACTGATGAAATAGTACTAATTCTCTCGTTTGACCTATTCCAAGGCAAAATAATTAAATAACAATTTTAGGCTACCCTTCACGTTCTCACAATAATGCCCAATTTAGACATATGTGCATTGTTTGTTATAAAAAAAGAAATGCATTTAACAAGAATCAATAAAAATGGTTAGCACTCTGGGTGCGAAAAGCACCATTGTATAGGGTTCTCTAAACTCCAGGAAACACCAGACTGTAGGCAAACTTGAGTTTTTCTGTGTAGGCCCTACAGATTAATCAACAGGCATTAATGGACGTTAAATCTTTTAATCAGTTTAACCTGTATATTTATCAAGAGGCATTAATGAATTTTAAATTATTCAATTTGTTTAAATTGTATGTGTGGTGAGGCGAAATAAGACAATAAATAGGGACGATGAAACTGTACTTACCCGGCATTCCCTTTTCTCCCTTCTGACCTATTCCATTGTTGCCCTTCATTCCCTTCATACCTGGAGAATGTAGGTAAGTTCAGATTTTCAGGTCATCCACATGGTTTTAAGACACAAAGCACAGAACAGGCTTTAATGTATAATAAATTGTTTAATCAGTTTAACCTGTATAGGAAGTAAAGCGAAAAAAGAAAGAGTACTTATGGGAAAAACCAGGATTATTTGAAGGAGGGAGTCTTTTTTTTTTTTGTTTTTTTTTTTTGGAGGGTGGGGGGTGGGGTTGGGGGATAACAGGCCTGGGATGCAAAGCAGCTACTCCCCCCCCCCCACCTTGACGTGGGATGTTGGGCTCACAACCCACACCCACAACTCTTACAATTATATACAAATTTTACATATCCAAATCCATTTAGCATGAAAAAATTTCTAAATAAACAGTTTGTACAGATTTTGTTTTCAAACAAATAATATAGGGCCAATGTACAGAGGTGAGCACATGTTTCAAATGCACCAGCCCAAATAAATTGGTCCAAGGGGAATTTGCTAGGACCGCCTTCAGATTCAAACATCACACCAGCTAGATCGATCCAACTCTGCGGGGGATTCTAGCTAGAGTGCATTCAGTCTAATCGGTTTAACTGTCTGACATGCCTCTTTGAGTAGCTTGTTGATTAATTAATTTACCCCCTAGCAACTCTAAGGAGGCATGTCAGATATTTAAGCTGGTTACAAAGATTGCACTTAGGGAGAATCTCTCACATAGTTGGATCAATCCAGCTAGTATGATGGGGTTTTCTATCTTCACTATTTGGTTCCTATGGGAGAATTTCCCAGGGAAACAAAGTACACAGCAGATAGAGAATTTACACATGGTCAAACCAAAAAAAAGTGCAGTAGTAATTTACTAAAAAGATTTACTAAATTTATGGATATCTGCTGGCCCCCTACTAAAATCACCAAAACCAACAAGACCTACAGCATTCACCTACTTTTAGAAAATGGGGGAGGAGAGTCCATGACTGAACACAATAATGAAAAGAAAACTTTATAACTTGAAACCATCGTTAAGAAACAGAATAAGTTTGAAATTAAAAAAAAAAAAATTAATTGTAAAAAAAAAAAAAAAAAAACAAAAAAAAAAAACTCCTCTGGATCTACCTCCTCTGCCCTTTTAAGTGGGACATTTCACTTCCCACTACAACCATGACAAAATCACATATGCTGTTCAGGGTATCTTGAAAAATATCACTGTTGGTTATTTTACATATCCCCTGTTGATCCCCTTGCAAGAGATATTTGATAATCTAAATATGTTAATTTACCTCTCTCTCCTTGCTGGCCCTTCATTCCAGTGTCTCCCTTCATTCCTGAAAATTGCAAAACAGATGACACATTGTCTGATTTCAACTAAGAACAACTTGGAAACATTACATGTTATTATTAAAAAATACTACATAAAGTTGCTGAAAAAGTGTCTGTCTGCTTCATTATCATAAAGAAAAATGATAGCAAAGTATGCATTATCAGATGTCTTTTGTAACAAATCTTTTTATGAATCCTTTTAGTTTCATTACCTTCACCATCTAGATAAAAACCACGCAGGTGGGGCTCATACCCAGACATTGATCTATGTCCTCTTTTGGCGAGGTAATATACTCTTACCTTTTTGACCATTTGGTCCTGTTGGCCCCTCTGGTCCTGTCTTGCCTTTCTCACCCTTCATCCCCTTTTCTCCAGTTGGTCCTGTTGGCCCCTCTGGTCCTGTCTTGCCTTTCTCACCCTTCATCCCCTTTTCTCCAGTTGGTCCTGGTGGTCCATCTGCCCCTGTTGATCCACTTGGTCCATCTTGTCCTGTCAAACCCATCTCACCCTTAACCCCTTTGTCTCCAGTTGGTCCTGTTGGCCCATCTTGTCCTGTTGGACCTGTCATACCCATATCACCTTTCATCCCTTTGTCCCCAGTTGGCCCTGTTAGCCCTGTTTGCCCATCTTGTCCTGTTGGTCCAGTCAAACCCATACCACCCTTCATACCTTTGTTTCCAGTTGGCCCTGTTGGCCCATCTTGTCCTGTTGGTC